CGCTGTTGGTGGAGGGGTGGGGGGTCAGGAAAGGGAAATCTGGGAACATTAAACAGTTTTAGGTGGGAGTGTTGATTTACTGGAAGTCAGGGAGATCAAGGGATTGATCAGTCAAAAGGTTGGACTCAATGATCTTGGAGGTCTTTTCCAACCTAAATGATTCTGTGACCATATGCATTTACTGAAGAGTTTATGTGGCAGGACTATAAAATAATCTCTGTAAGTCATCCTCTCCTATTAAGATATGCAATTAAAAACACTGTGACCTGTGAAACCACATTTTCTGAGAGGTGAGAACATACAGAAGAGGAGTCACATGAGCCCAAGTGACTTAAAGAGCAACAGAACAAACCCCTGTAAGCACATGGTGCTCACTGCTTCATCAGGGAGGGAGATAACTTGCCCTCCTGGGTATCTCTTCTCCAAAATTAGCATCATTAGCACAGTATTCACACCTTCTCTTTCCAAGCCCACAGGAGGTTTCACTGAAGCGCTGCAGGCACAGTATTTGCCCTGCCACAGCTAAAAGAACCAGGGGTAAACATCCATTGCAACCAGGGTCTCAGGCACCCGAGGCACAACCTGCAGCTGCACATGGAGCTGCCTGCACTAGGTGCGTTCCTCAACAGACAGTACAACAACCTTTTATCATAACTATGCTCTAATCTAAATTCTGATAATCTACACATTAAAAAACGCACACCTATCTTTTAATATGTATAAAGGTATACTTGAAGTTTTTAAGACTTGTCTGTTCTAATATTTGCACCATAACTAGAAAGCATCTGCACTGTGAGATAGTGGCAATTTTTCCAATCTAACCTCACTTTGTTTGCACACAGCACAAGGTTATCACTTCAGCAAAGGACTTTACAGCATAATACCCACACAGTGAACAACCTTCAGAGCTGGGGCAATAAACACCCCCCCCCAGATGGAAAGGCTATTACCCTTACTGTACTCATAATTTGGTTTAATATAAAATCTGGAAATTTCTTTTTGCAAAATTTATTTTTGTTCAGTTTTTACAGAGAGTTATGATCTTTTTCTGTGCCCCATATCTGCATCAGCAATCATTAAAGTAATATCTGCTTAACATGCCCTTGCTCATCAGCCTAACTTGAAACATGGTCTGGCTTGGCAGCATGATGAGGATCTCCTCCCTGTGCTTTCCATCATGTTTAGGGATATATGCTGCTGGACTGCATTTGCATACATTAGATAATCACAGGTGTCCCTACTGCTAAGATATCCATAAAACATCCTTTTAAGAACAGAATGAATCAACTCAACCTAAAAAGGAGTCTCAGCATTCTTAAATAATCATGGCATCTTCATTTTGAAGAAAACCAACTTTTAAGCATCTATGTCTTGAATATTATAAAGACTTCCTGGAGAAATGTTCTATAGCCCCAATAGAGCACATGTTTTATTTAAATTAGCATTACACCTAAGAGCTTTAACACATATTTTCTTCTCAGGCAGTCCTTATTACTTTGTGACTGTTTCATATCACCCCTAAATAACACTGTCACCAGCTAAATGAATAGAGTGTGCTATACTTACAGATGATTTATACAGAACTAAAACATGGATCAGGAGGCATATTTCTACCCTGAGCCTCTCGATACAGTTCCCTTTGGCATCAAAGGAACTACGTGCCTTTCTGCCCTGAATTCCTAACAAGATAATTTACATATGCGCACATTCCTGAGCTCTGGCACGGCACAACTTTGCCCAAAGTTGGAAACCTCCATCTGGGAAAGGCACATTTTGTACCTCACCCCGTTCTGAACATCCTCTCAAGCCACTGCTAGGATCTCTTGGCACAGCTCCCGATAGGCACTCCTCTGCTTCTGGGAGGAGGGGGGAAAAACAGGCAGCAAGAATAAGGTCCAGTCTTATTCAACAATCACATGGCATGTATTGGAGCAGTTAGAGCTGGAGGGAATTATGGACCCACCTATATGAGCAGAAGAATCCTTTCCCTTACTGATGAGGTCAAGCAGTGAAGAGCTGGATACTGAATATCTGTCATGTCTATAAAGTGCTTCTGTCTTCCCACTGGTCCTTTACATTTTACCCTGAGGAAGTTCCAAGGACTTCTCCAAAAGTTTTTGCAGATAGTAATGTACTAAGCAACAACCACAGAAGAAAATAGGACCCTGAAATAAAATAATTCTCTCAGTAAAGCTGACAGTCAGGTGAGGATAAATCAAACTGTGGTGTGTTGGATACTAGGGCAGTGATGGTAGCAGAGGAAGTGTCAGCTGAAGAACTAGTAACTAGAGGTCTAACACCTGCAACATCACTCCTCTGATTTAGCTGCTCAGTGCCCTGGATAATATATTCTACTTGCTAACAGAGGCATTTTTTAAATGCAATTTCAAACCTATCAATAAAAGATTTGAAATGTATTTTTCTACCTGCTTCACACAGTTCAGACCTTGTTTCAGATTTGAAGGAATACTGGAGACAACAAATAACTTCTAAATAGTGAATGAACCCCAAAGTAACGGAGGTGCAGAGAGAAAAGGCCCTCAAACCCTCCACACGCCTCCTCCTACAAACTTGGCTGCTGTGATACATCTCAATCTCCCACTGTAGCAAAGTGCACATCGTGGTAACCCCCACAGCCTCCCACATTCTGTGTGTCAAGCCCTGATTCATCAAATCACTGATGGAGAAGAGCAGCTGTGCAGTTTGGGGCCAGCCCGTGCTGATGGTCACTTGGCCACCATGTGCATGGTCCTGGGATGCTCTGCCACGGGACAAGCAGGACAGACACCTGTAACCCCTCAGGAGGTGAGGGATACCGCTTTGGGTCTCTTCCTCTCCTCTGTGGCCATGATTTTCATAAATTTTCAGCATCACGCTTGTCAGATTGAATTGCAACAAGTCAGAGCTTGAATGCCAGAGGAGCCTGTCAAGCAGCACGATCATTTAAGGGCTCATAAGCAAGCACAAGGATCTCTCCCTTCATCTTGCCACACTGCAACCATCTCAAGGAGACTCAAGGGAGAGAAACACAAGTTTCTACTCAATCAGGTGTGAGGAGTCCTGTGGATAAGGACTGGCTCAGGAACAAGTATGTGGCTGCTTGTGCTAAGCAAAGCAAAGCAAGGAAAGGGCAGCACTTTCGGAAAGAGGTGGTTACACAAGAAAATTTGCCATATTATAAAATTATCCTTTCCTCACCCATAAGGTTTTAGGCATTATATCCCCCACTGGGCTGTGCTAAAACACATTCACAACAGTCAGGCATACGTGACACTGATCACTGCTGCCAGGGTATATTAAGATTATTATATTCTCACCCTGGTTTTTATAATATTCCCTAAGCATCTGCTATTTGCCTCTGCTGGAGACAAGATACCAGGCTGTCAGTAATTGTTAATGTCAAGGAAACAAATGGACTGTTCAAGAAAAAACTGTGAAAAAGCAAAGGTGGCAAAAAGAGAGAGAGAAAGAAGTAATCAAGGTGGAATCATAGAGGCCCAGAGATAGGGACAAGGGGTGCTAAATGAATAAGAAATACCAGGGTGAGCACTGAGGGGATGGGAAATAGAAAGCAACACCCCAGTGATCAGAAGAGGAAAGGTTTTACTCCATAATCCTGCTGGAAAGGAAGTACCTCAAGGGTAGAACAATGGAAAAACATGATCAGGCTAAGGAAAAGACACAGATGAGGCAAGGAGATAGACAGGAGAGTTTTGGATGGACTGCAAATATAAGTCCAGTTGTAAGCAGTTGAGATGGACATGAGACCCAAAGCAACATCACAGAGCAATTGCTGGAGGACTGAACTCCTAAAGAATGAAAAGAAAGTCATTAAATTAGACACCAGCAGAAACCCCAGAACTCACAAAAAGTGTGGGTAAACAAGAGTGCTAAAAAACCAAATTTGTAATTTGCTTTATCTTTGTCATGGTTGATTTTATGAATACCTCAATAGCAACAAAAGCCTGTCCACAAAGTCTCTCCTGGAAAACCAATGGCCACCTGGAAGCTGAAAGCAACAGAAATCAATGTGACTGCAGGGAATCCCATATCTGCATGTGATGGGAGCCTCAATCAGCCTTTTGGATAACCCCGAAATTATTTTTTAATACACTTAATAAAGTGTGGGGAGAAGGGGGGGGCAGCAGCTGTGCCAGCACTGCAGGCTTGTTTTTTGCCAACAGCTCAGTGATGCACCACACACTGACTGTAAGAATATCATTACATGGAATTACTACAGAGCACTTTAGAAGTCACTGATAATTGACAAGATGTAATTTTAATGAGGAACCATCAGTGAATGGACATGCTTTTAACTGGGCCTACAGAGACAAGTTTCACAGCCCAGTGCAACTCAGAACTTAAGTGATAAATATTGCCAAACTTAGATGAGCACGGTCAAATAACTCTGTCTCCTTCATATGCCCAGCCTTACCAAAGATCAGACACTAATACAGAAAAACACAAGCCTACTTATTTAACATCACAGAATGCAATGGCAAATGATCTACTCCACTTCCAGAAGGGAGAACTGTAGGTTGAAAGTTGGAGAATTAAAAATATGTGTGGGAACCAGGGAGATAAACGGAACACAAGGTCCCAGGGCCATGGTCTGATGAAACACCTAGATGATAGAAGAGAGGTAAGGTTAGAAAGGTGATGTTTCTATGTATGGTGTTGATGAGAAGATGAGTAAAATGTTCTGCTGTCCCTGAATAGCCACCTCTAATGTCCAGCTTAAAAAGATGCTGAAAAATAGAGAGAAATGCATAGGATTTAAGGGCCTGAAAACAGATTGTGTGGAAGAGTTTAAATTATATGATCACTTCAGGAAAAAGAAAGCTAATCAATGATTTGTCGACATCATGGGAAATGATTTCCATTACTAGCAGGCTCCTTAATTAAGCAGACAAAGGACAAAGATGATTCAACATATGGAACAAAGAAATAAACTCAGATTGGATTTATTCTTTTATAAATCATCAGAAATAATTACTCACCAAAACAACTACCCTCAGGACACCTCTGAGTTCCAGTTATCTGCACTCTTTAAATAAGTCTGAACATTCTTCTGAAAGGAAAGGAGAAGTTGCTGGGTGAAATTTTCTACAGCCTGGGTCATCAGGAGGTCAAATAACATGATCCCAAGAATCATTCATTCATTATGAACCAAGGACTACTAGACAATATTTGCCATATTGATACTACAACACTCAGACTTACTTGCTTACATGAGGTTTTGTATTTGCCCACAGTTGTAGAAAACAACAAGAGAATATGATGATTAACATTTAAAAATAGGCAAGTTATCAAGACGAGATCTCTTTGGTACAGATAAATTCACATTTATTCCAGCATTCACTTATGATTTTGCTGTCATAAGCCAAGCACATAGTACTGGGTACCATAAAATCTAAAACTACAGGCTTTTTCAAAGTGAGTGTGTATTAAATTTAAACCATAACTGTAAGAGTTTCAGTAAATCTACAATAGTCCCCATTAGAAACATTAAGATTACAGTCTCTCAGATAACAATGTCCACAATAGCAGTGTGCAAAACACTATATACATTAGAAAGTGGATAATTAATATGCTTCTGCACTTTATTATTTTTTCCTTTACAAGCAATGGCTGTTATGAAATCATACATGTCTGCCCAGAGCTTCCTGAGTGTCGCATATGCTGAACAAATAGAGCTGGACACTCATGGTCAAATGCTGCAACTCTTGGCACGAAAACACGCTCCTGAATTCCACATTTTGTCTGAAACAAGCCTGCTGGGTAAAGCCCAAATATAAAATTTTTTTATGGGACAAATCTCACACTAATTGCCTTCTCTCTGCAGCAGTAACTCCCTGCACACAGTCAAGGTGTTGGGAAGTGGGCAGGAGCAGGAGATCCACAAAACCCACTGACACAAACACGTATCATCTGCATCAGTCTCTAAACTGACAGAGATTTTCCCACTTTAGTCTCACCATGAAGCCTGGAACGTGCAAGTCTGCAGGATATTATTGCTATTTAATGGGGCAGGGGACTTGTAGTACCAACCAAAAAGACTGCATATACAATCAAGTAGCAATATCAGCTCCCAGTGAGCAGAAACATAAGAGTATCTGCTATTGGGATGCTCAGGGGCAAACAGCACCACAGGCTTCAGAGCCCCACTCGATAACATGGATTGACGAAGCAAGTCAAGTTCAGTAAGGCAGAGTCAAACCTGGCAGAGTCAGATCCTCCACCAAACCCCTCAGAGGATCCTGGAGCAGCCCAGGTGGAGCTGGCAGCTGGCTGAATGTGGACTGAAACCAGCCACCGTTGTGTGGTGGGGGGTCCATCTCACCCAGCGCTGCTGCCACCACCCCCACAGCTGATCCCAAGCCAGTTACACAGGCTCCATCTGTGGGACTAGAGAAGGCTGGGTATTTCTGGTCTGCATTTCATCTCATCTTGCTGCAGACTACCTAAAATAAGTAGGAGTAATGGTTCTCTCAAAGTGCCTTTTTGTCTGCTGTGAAGAAAACCTAAACACGAAGCTCCAGCCCAAATGCTTGCAGTGTCAGATTAACGCCTCTCTGTCTGTCAGTGCCAGGTAATTATATCTGTAATGACCAGAGAGATCTTCCATAATGTCACCACATAAGGGATAAAGCTGGGACAGAACACAGAGACCAACTTTGCCACTGCTTGAGTTGGAATCAAAATTCACTACTTGCTACCCAACATCTGTGGGGAAAACAATAAAAAAATAAAAATGCAGAAACTGTTCTAAAAGGAAGCAGGTTACTGGAACCTGTCCTTCTGGCCAGGACACTGAAGTGATGATCAATATGTGTCCTGGCTGGAGATCAAACCAGCTGAAGTAGCTGCTGTGCAACCCAAATTCATGGAGCGTGGGCCAAGGGCAGAAACATCTTGGGTGAGAGTGTGGCTAACTCTATCATGCCCACTGCTACCCAGCTCACCAGTGAGGTGCAGTTTTGGTGTGCAACAACCTCCCACCTCTATCTGTCCTTTTATCTACTGTGCAGAAACCATAGGACTCATACAATATTTATAGCGTGGAAGGAGCGTTTCAGTGATGGCAGAGGTGATGTCTTTTCTCTAATGTTTGTTGACTTATGGCTAGAATGTGCAATTCAACAGCTGAGGAACGTATCATTTCTATTCATGCTGCACTGCTCAGAAGCGCACACATTACAGTCCATGTCAGCTAAACAAAGGTAGCCAAACATCCTTGGACACATGCCACTGCAGCTATGTAGTGAAATTACGGTGCCTTGAACATTTTATGGTCTCTGATGATAACAGCACTTGCATTGCACTGATGGTTCAAATTAATCTGATTCTCAAAAGTTACAGCGTTTAATTAGGATTGGTAATAAAAATTATAGCGTTGGGAAAGTATTATGACAGCATTGGTCCTGAAACGGGGGTGGGGGAATCAGTCAGTGTTTAAAAAAAAAACAACAATAAATTGAGAGTGACTAACAACAAAAGAAAATGACCTTCTGGAACAATAAACAACAGATAGCAGCTGCCTCTTATCTTTGGGGTGGAAAGTCATTTGATATTTTTGTACCTCAAAACATTTCTTTGATGTGGGCTAAAACCCTCTCTACAATACAGTCCCTTTCTGTGAATTCTCTAAGCAACTAAATCCTAGCACCATTTTTACTTTTATTGCCTTTCAGACTGGCAAGAGTAATATAATGATTCATCATTAAAGTACTCTTTAAGCAGCTTTGTTCCTATTTGTTGCTATATATATTAAATAGAAATCGGTCTTTGAATTCACCTCTAAAGTCAGACCCAATTTTTTATCCAACAAGAATGGTATCTCCAGTCATCATCTGAATGCAGCAAAGGGAGAAAACCTTTTGCATAATATAAATATCTGCATTCACTAAGAGGAGGCTGATGCCACCACCTACTGTGATTGCATTTTATAAGTGGTACAAAGCCAGAGAGATTTCAAATGCAGCAGCACAGTCTCTTATAGATACTCCAGGCACTATCAGAAAGGCACAGTTTCATCTCCGATTCAACAGTTTCTGGGCCAGAGGCTTTGATCACCTGTAGCTGGTTTACAAGCAGTGTCCAAACCATTAAAATGCAGTGGCTACTGAAAGAGTGCAGGCACCTAAGGACTGGCCTATGCTTCCCTCCCCATAGAAACCGGGGAAATCAATCCCCAGCAAACAGTTCTTGAAGATTCAATCTATTCCCTTTGCCCCTGTCTGTTCTTCATTCCCTGCTCCACGAGCAGCATGTGACTGGCCAGCCATTCCAGCACGGTTTGCCAGGCATTTGTCTCCAGAAGGGCAAACCCCACAGAGATCCCAGCACCACTGCTACCACTGCACCCCTAAGAACACGGAGCTCAGCCCCACATTGCAGTGGGGCACACCGGGGAGTCCCTGCCCTCCACCTACAGGGGGGACAGAATGTGACTGTCAGGCAGAGGAAGGTTATCAGTACAGCCTGTGTGACTTGGAGTGCTGAGCAGTTATTACTGTAACAAATTACAGTTTTTTAAATTACTATTTATTAACTCCAGCAAATGGCTCTCAACTTCCACATAACTCGAGTTTAATGCAAAACTTTACCACCGACCAGAGAAGCTGCTCAGAAATAATCAGTGGTTCAAATGTGCTGGTTTGGTTTCCTGAGTGGATGTGAGTATGGCTGTGAGGAAGGTATTCCCATCCACTCCTTCACAACACATCACATGGGAATACGCCCCAACACTTTGCTGTTTTAGTAAAAGGACATTTTAAAAAAATACACTTGCTGGAATAGAGGCGCAAGACCACCAAAATAGTTGCCACCCATCAATCACCAAATTAATTTTGAATTTTTGAAATCTCTTTTGTGAGAAGCATTTCACTTGAATTCAACCAGTTCTAATCACCAGTCTGCCTTTTTGCAAATAGCAGTAAATGGGATGACTAATATATCTCTTTTCTAGTGTTTCCTGCACAATGGTATTGCTTAGTGCTCACCAGCTTTTATAAATGCTCTTCTAGAAAAAAGTCATTCGGATCACCTTACACGAATACTACTCTGAGATGCCACTGAACGTTCATAGATTTGTGTTTTCGCCTCTCTGAGTGAAGCCAGGAGATTTTTCTCCTCTTTGTGGCAGAAATTAGTGTTGCTATGGAGCATTGCTGCCCAGATCTACCTTGTATGTGGGTAAGAAGGGATCCTCTTCCTCAGGACAGAGAGGAGCAGCTACTTCCCAGGTGTCATCACAGCCTCCATCCCCAGCAGTGGCTGTAGCTTCTTTATTCATACACAGCACTGAATCAACCAGACCCACTCCTGCTCCTCCACCTCCAACACAGAGATCTTCCAGAGCAGAAAGATCTTGCAGAGCAGAAGAGATCTTCTCTACAGGATCCCAGAGAAGGGTGCACAAGTGTCCTGTTCTTGCAAAGAAGGAATCATGCTCTTGTCTGTAATTTGGGCCCAAATTTCAGAGAAAAAAAAGGGGATTTTTCTCTATCTTTCCCTATATGTCAGTGTTGAATCAAACATAGCAGAGCAGCCCTGGGGAAGTTGAGGAAGCAATTGCAAATGCTCTGACCAAACTGCTCAGGTAGCAACACATTCCAGTGTGTCACAAAAGTGACTAAAAAGATTTGCAGTGCCGATGACAGGGCTGCTCTTTTTCCTCAAGAGTGCAGTTATGAAAGACACATTTGTTCTGCCAGGATGCCACAAAAACACTTCTGATGGCACTCTTGGCTGTGCTATCTTAATAGATCTGCAATACCAGAAACACACACAAACCTCTCTCTGTGTGATGCAGGTACATAATCCCTGTTCTGAGTAGCCAGGTTTCCTTGGCAGGGTCTGCCCTCAGGAGAACATGCAAACATACATCTGTTGGTCAATCAGGACAACAAAATCAAATAGATGTCCAATGCCCGAGACCCTGCTTTTCCAGAGAAACCAAAAACTTTCCTTTCAGCTTAATCTTTATGGAATAAAGCTCCCACCAGAGGTCTCAAGACAAACCAAAAAAAGCATGCCCTGATAGTGAGAAGGGAGCAGTATGAGCTGCTGATGATTTTGTTAGGGATTTCTCAAGAAGGTAACTTCCTAAACAAGCAGAAGGAAAATTGATGGCATTGACAGTTTTTCTCTCCAAGACACTGCTGTAAGAAAAACCTCAAGCAAAAATTCCTGGTGGTAAAGTACTTAGCAGAGTTGAACTAAACTCCTCTCCACAAAGCTGGAAAAGCAAAACACAAAAACCAGACACAGGCTGCTTCTAAAACAATTTTCCTCCTCTACTTCCAGACACCAAGATCAACCTTAAGGACCTTAACATTCCCTCTCTCTTAGGAAAGAGCACCTTTTTTAATTCCTCTTAGTGTAATTTCACTCCTCAAAAAACAACACCTCCCTGTCAGCAGCATTTTCTGTGTAGGTGCCCTCTGTCCTCCCCACGTCCACAGGAGCAGAATGAAAGGACCTGTAGAGTGCAGTGTGTCCCAGATTCTGAACTGAAGCATAACCCACCATACTGCAGCCAACCCCTTCGAAAGGTCATATGCCAGGAAGAAGTAAAAGCTCCCAGGTGCATTCCAGAGAGACCAAAACAAGTTTGTTTCAATTAACTGCAACAACTTTATTGACGGTCATGAAAGGTATCACTCAGGTACCTTTTGCTGTCTTCCTCCCTGCTGCCCACGCAGAAACCACACACACATTTTTCTGTCTGGCATTCAAATTAAACCCCGTTCCCAAGGGAAATTTTTAAACATTTTATAGCCCAGAATGAGGAGAGGACTGTATCCCCCCAGTAAAGATCACAGCACATTGCACAGGCAGCAGCACCTACCTCCGTGAGCCGACAGAGCAAGCAAGTCCACATAATTCCTCTTGGATGGAGACATTTACCCCAGCTCAGACAGCCGGGGCTCTCCTGCCATGCCTGGAGCTTCGGACACACCAAGAAAGCATCTTCTGCCAGCAGCGCGGCTCCTCTCGCACACCGAACTGCAGCAGCGGCAGCCTGAGAGAGCAGCAGCAGTTGAATTGCTGCACATGTATCTCTGCAGATTATTTCCTGCTCGAACACTTGGCGTAAAAGCAGATGCTCTTAACCCTCTGGAGGCCTATGCCTTTGTCCCCCCTCGGCAGGAGGAAGCTAGCAACTCCAAATATTCTGCGGTGAGACCGGAGAGGAATGACCGGAGACACACAGGGCATCTTCCGAGAAGTAGTCCCAACCTCGTGTGAGTTGCAGTCACTTCGCGCTCAGGGAGACAGGCATTCCCACGGCAGCCCACAGTTCCATCCCCGGCCAGGCAGCACACGGTTCCCACTGCATCACCCGCTGCAGATCCCCAGGCTCCGGCAAAGCTCTGCCCTTGGCTCACACGGGAGCCCCTGCGAGGCCCCGCAAGGACGGGGTGTCCAGCGTGCTGAACCTGCGGCTGGAGGCCAGGGCCGCGCAGGTTAAGGGGGGGACACAAGAGGGGCACAAGTGACGTGGCAAGCCCAGCAGTGTCACCTGAAAACTCAGGCACACAGGGCTCCTGCTCCTGGCACAAAGCTCTCCATCACCTGCAGGCGCTGCCCCATCACCTGCAGGCACCCACACGGCGGGCGGGCAGGCGCTGTCCGGGTGGCACTCGGCTGGCGAGCGTCAGCACTGCTCCCTCTCACAGCCTGCGAATGTGACTGGAAAGCATGGCTGAAAACATGCTACAATTAACAGGAGGGAGGGAGATACTATTGCTCTCCTGCTAGTCTTAAAGGCACATTGCTCACATGTGCCTGTTGGGGATGCAAACACCCACAGCTTCAGTCCCAGCGCCTCACCCACCCGCAGGCAGCTGAGAAGCCCAGGAAGGAGCCCTGTAGGGGTCCAGGGAAGGAGAGCATCCCAGGAGTCAGGAAGTGAAGGGGCAGGGAGTGGAGGAGTCCCTACATCAGGGGCTGGGGGCGAGGCCTGCCACACCTTCACCACAGTCCCAGGGGCCAGATCAAGTCCCCATCACTCAGCCCAAATGTTAACTCCCATCCCTGGCCCCTCCACCAGCATCCCAACCAGACAGAGGTCAGACTGGTCACTGCTGCCCCATAGCCCAGAGGGTACCAACTGTGTTTTCCAGTTGGCAAGGAAGGCCTGGTACACCCTGGGGCCATGGTGCCCCTCTTCTGGTCTTGGCAGGAGGGTCAGGCTCAGTGGCATTGTTCCCACTGGGCATAGCCAGGAGCTGAGCCAGTGATATCCAATGTGCCACCCAGGCTAAAGCTGTGATGAGTTCAGCAGATCTTAGACTGGGTGTAATATCTGGCACCATAACCACCTCCCTGCTGCCACAGGGCTGGGGCCAGCAGGCTGTGCACCAGCTGATTGCCACATGTTCTCTCTTTGCTTCTCCTGACACCCTCTTCTGAGTGCCTTGGGACACTCTGGCTTGTCCTTTAGCATGTCCCAGCATGGATTCAAGACGCTCACATAAAGCTTTTCCCTCCCTTGCCCCCTAAGAGCTGGCATCTGAAGCACTCTCTAGAAGTCTGCAAAACAGGTAATCTACCCCATTAAAAATATTTACTTTTTTCTCTGCAGTGGTTGTTGCCACAGGTAACATGCTTTTCTGAGGAGGAAAAACTGGTGTGAAGCCCTGAATCTTGTTAAACTGCTTTACATCACAGCATCCCGTTAACACCTTTGATTCCCCAAGCCCGCTGGAGGCACCAAAATTAACCTGATCAATACCTGCCTCCATCACCGTGAGAGAAGCTATTAGCAGTGAGGATATTTTAGCCCTGAGCACACAATGGCAAAACAAATTACTATGGTGAAAAGTAAGTTAAGCATAGTGTAACATCAGGCTTTCCTGAAAAAAATAGACTGAAAGGAAAGGTACAGACTGTATAGTATAAACACAAAACCAGCCAGAGAGTTAGCACTGATGCAAACATGCATCACAGCATAATAAATAGCTGTTTTCCTGTAGTGCTAGTACAGAGAACTATTAAAACACGATCCCCTGATCAAACCAGTGCCATGTGTGTTTCACTGCTTCCAGGCCATGCAGTTTTGTGCAAAAATACTGCAGTGAATTAGTTCAAAATAGTCTTTATTGAGCATTTGCATATCTTGAAGAAAGTCTTTTTAACACCAGACCTACAAAACATGCATAAGTAGTAATCAAAATGCTAGGCAGAGACACTTAAGGCTTTATACTTTGAAGTTTTTCCCCTGAGTATCAAAGATCAAATTTGTTCTACAGAAGATAGCTGAGGATTTCTCAAGTATAATGCTTCCTGAACTCATTGATTAGTATGCAAACACAGCACAGTGACTGGCAGCACATCTCTACAAGCATCCTGAAACACAGCAGTCCCCTGCAATACACTGAATAGGAATATTCTCTATACAAGCACTATTTTTTTTTTACTGCAAGACCTGATAGATCAATCAACTTTAAATTCAATGAAAATGACTGCCTATTAAATTCATAAGATCAAATGCTGATTTGAATTATTCCATCATGGACAACAGTATGAAAACCAGGCCAGCAGGGTCGCATCTTACTGTCAGTTACCAGACCTGTCACTGAGAATTATGTACATGTGTGCAAGGATAGAAATTTTTTTATTTATGTCAATAAGAGACTTCGTTCTAAAGAAGATTTGAGTGTAATGATTCAGCTTTCTGTAGTACGATACTTCAGGACATGTCCCTCCTGAGCCTTGTGTCCACTTTTGAAACATGCAGGAAGAGCCATAACCAATTCAGTGAAAAGCTCCTGTATGGACCATGAACTGAAAACTTTGTCCAAGAAAAAAAATCCACCAAAGAGTGAGAGCTTCTCTTTGAAGGAGATTTCGCACACGTGCCCAAAATGTGCAAAGAGCAATGCCCAGTTCTGTACTCACTACAAGCTCTTGGATACAAATAAGGGAAGGAATCCCTGGGATATGCCCAAGCCTTCTACCCCAGGGTTCTCTGCTCTTACTTTTCTCCAGGCTGCCTAAACAGAGCAGCTCCCAACATTTTATACCACTGATCACTCTTCAGCTTTTTTCATCAACCTCTACAAGCAACCAACCAGCTCCTGAGCACTCACCATAATTCCATGGATGTCTGCAGTTCAGAACCATGGGGTTGACAGGGAGGGAGTTCCAGCCAGAAGAGAGGGGTCCAGGTGCACCAGCTGATAACAGGGTGTGGAGGTTGGGAAGGGACGGCACCGAGCTTGAACATCCCGCTTCCTCGGGAGACACCTCCCAGCAAAAGGAGCAGCCAAAGCATAAACAGCTTTGAACACTTGCACACAATTAGCCTGGTGAGCTGACATTCCTGAGGTTTATTTGCATTGGGAAAACTTCAAAACTTAAAAAGAAAAAAAGACATTAGCATCCAAGCAAGCCACACTGCCAGGCTACAGCACATCAGTGGGAAACATCACAGGACCAGTCTGCAGTGTCTACCCAAGGAGATGCAAGGGGATTAGAACAGGAGTTTACTGTAGGGAAAAAGCTAGGGACATCAGAGACCTAAATACCCTTTCAAACACCCTATTTGCAAGACAAAAAAAAAAAAAGATAAAAAATGCCCTTTTGACTTGGTCTGTTTAGAAGCCAGAGATAGTCAGACACATCTGAATATGAATCTTTAAAATGTCAGCATTGCATTGTGGGATTTTGTGGGGTTTTTTTTTGCTTTGGTTTGGTTTTTTTTAAATCAGCATTTATGTTGTGCTCGAAAATACTCTATTGTATTTAGACATTGGAATCCTACAGCCCTCCTTGTATCTGTGATTTGGAAATGAAAGAATTTGCACTGTGAGAAGGGCTTGTAGAATTCAATGGAGTATGTTGGCACAGAGTCAAAAGAGCATGTCTGGACAGCCTGGGAATTATAAGGTCCCCCAAGCTGCCTTTAACAAGCTGGTTTCACCTTTATCAAGGCTTTCTTCTTTGAACTATTTTTGAGAAGTCAGCCTTGAGTTCTCTAAAATTTTCAAATGCATTTGAGAAACTTAACATTAAAACAAGACCACAGGAATAATTCATCAGACAATAATTTTATATATACTGAGTGCCCTTCTCAATTGGAGACTTCTGAGCCAAACCCTATAGACACAAACAACTATGGTGTCTAAAAATACAAATCAATCTATCAGGAATGGAGCTCTCAAAGAACAAAAGTCACCATTCAGTAAAGGGGAGCCAGGCTCTGACTGGTGGTGCTTCTTCCTGGTTCAGTGACAAAAGAAAGGTAACAACTACGAATAAAAAAAACCCCAAAAGGTACCAAATGGAAAACAGGCTGTAGCAGAGTGGCCAGAGTGACCACCTCAGAACTGAAAGACAAACTATCCTAAGACTCAGATGCAGCAAGAATGATTAAACATCAATACAGAGTCCAAACCACAAGAAGTAGGTCCTCTGTTTCTTGGTGCAGGCAAACTGAAGCTAGAATTATTTTAGGAAGGCAAGCACAGGTAACAGCTTTACTGTAGGGACAACTAGGTTAAATTGAGCTGCGATATAAAGGAGTGAGACTGAATTATTTAAGCTTCCTTTCTGGCCATATGTGCTGTGAACAGCTGATAAGTCGTAGGAAGAACATGCTACTTTTAGATCTCTTGACTTTCCTGCTCCAGGGCCCTTGTCTCTCTGCTGAGCAAACAGGGAATAAATGCTTATTGCTACTGGGAAGCTGGGAGATATGGGTTCTCCCTCTACCTCTGGTGCTGGCGTGATGAATTACTTTGGGCCAACCACTTACGTTCATAAACCATTCTTTAAAACAACCCTAATGACTCCACACACATTTGGGAGGTGCTTTGAGAAATGGCAATGCAACACAGTCCCCATCAGCATTCGCCTGCAACAACAAAGACTTCAAAAACAGAGAGGTCTGTGCAGGCAGTGATGATGACCAAGCTCTGTGTTCATCTGGGATACACAAATACTGTATTGTGAGCAGAACTCTTGAAGGAACAGTGCAGTTAATGGTAAATGAGGAGCTCATGTGCCATCAGCAGTGATGAAAACTGCACAGGCTCGGGACCCAGAAAGCACCTGGTGGCACCAAAGTCATTGGAGGCCTTCTGGCACCCTCCCCATCTCGTGTTCCTTCAGGGATTTTCTTTGTAATGAAATTCTTCCTTTCATCCATAATTTCATGAAACTTTATAGCCAAGTTCAATTTTTTATTTGAAAGAATTTACCCCCATCTACTTGCCAGAATTTGATAAATATGGTTTCTGCTCAAAGGTCCACACTGAGCAACATGGAACAAACCTGTCAAGTTTCACACCTCTACCTTCCTCTTCTACTTCTGGAGACCATCTCTCTGATAGGCCCCCACAGGATAATCCCTGCCTTTCCTTTGCCTTGCTGCTCCCAGATGCAGCAGCTCTTCCCTGGGAATCCACTGTCCTAAATGCTACTTACAAGATCTTTCCATATGCAGAGTTTCACATATTGGCACTGAGGACTTTGTGAAATGGTGCAATATTAGCACCAGAGAGCTGTTAGGGGACCATGGAAGCAGTGAGATTTTTCTTCACACAAAGGCACACTGGGAACCTGCATTCTGGTGCTGTCCCTCTGCTTCTCAGCTGTAGCATGAGCTTATTCATGCTTTGGGCAGCACTCAATAGAGCCAGAGCACAAAAGAGTCAGTTATTTAAACCTGTATTCACCAGCAAGGTCAAAAAACCACAGTGGAGAAAGTGAGAGA